AACGAATTCTTGAAAAGAGTCAAAAAGATTAAAACTGTATTGAAACCGGATCAGGCCAGTTGTTGTTGGGGAATACCACACAGCGCTAAGTGCAGACACATGGCTTAAGCACTTTGCATACACACAGCACATGTCGTTCGCAACGGAGCGCGTCAGAATCCGGCTCCAAAAACAGCTCGTTCTTCTACTCGCGCAGCAGTCGATAATGGATACGTGGTCATAAGTGAAGTAGTGTCGTGACCACAAATAGCATTGCGAGTTCTATCGAAAAACAAATTCTCACTCTTGTACACATGTTTTAGGCGACCTGGGATTAGGCAAAGCTTAAAAAGTTCTCAGCGCTATAGCACAACGAAGTGGGATCAGGATACAAGAAAAGGTCCGGAACTCATGAAAACTACGCTGCTGCAGGGATTAGGAATTTTTTTTTCGAAATTCTGGTAGCGTACATTTTTGTTTGCCAAAATTTGAGTGCCACAGAGAAACTCACTAAGCCATGAATGAAGCTCAACGACCTTATAAATTCAACCAATCATTTGATCACTTAAAAACAGGACCGAAAAAGAACAGCAGGAAAGATACGATTCCTGTCTGGAGTGCTGACGGCTTTCCAATAATGGAGAACACAAATCGCAAAGGGCGCACGCCGCGGCAAAGGTTCTTTCCCACTCATTGTTATCAACTGCGGCTCACTTCGACTTTCAAATGACCAGATGATCGTGACATTTTGCTAACTAACACTATGTATGCTTATTGTAAGCATCAAATAGGAGCCCAAGCCGATAGGGCCGTGGTCGTACTCTACGACAAATTGTAAGCACTGAATACATTTGAGTAAGACTTCGACGGCGCATGATCAATACGTATCTACTCCATGAAAAGTCACATGATCACAAACTGTGATTTTGTGCAAACTTATGCCATCACATTGAATGTAGAAAACATCGATGATGCCGATCAGAGAGTGCTCAAGAGGTCTTACACATTCTGTTTACTACAGAGCGCAAAATAAAGATCAGCTCAATCCAGAAATCTCATCAGCACTGCTTCCGTCAGGAAATGACATTTCATAGTAGTTATAAAGATAACAATCACGCAAGACCCTTCACAAGACTTGAGAAGCAATCGCTGTGGCTGTCACAACTTTACAACAAAAAGTTCCAGCGTCCTTTAAATCACGTCAGCGCCTCCATACAAATGTAAACCGGTACTATTAGAGCCGCATAAATTGAAAACTTTTTGAATTCTGCAGTTCAGGAATATAATGGGAAACACCTACGCCCTCAAATCTGAACAATGAGGCGAACGACTTCATTTGTCGGCAAATAACCACCAGTTTCATTGTCATCTCAGGACATCAAGGAATAATCGATTCAGTTCGCTTTTGGTGTATTACATCGGGAACAACTACATCATCAAAAGTACCGGAGGTAAACACACGTAGAGAAGCACTAAAGAGGCCGCAGCCAGTAGTGATAAACACTTTTTTTTCTCTTGAGAAAACCTTTCGCCAGAGGACTGCAACAGATAACCTAGGCCACAAATTTCATCACACAATAACTATGCTTTTCTTAGGGGAGGGAAGGGGCATTTTTGAAATTCAAATTAGGTTCTTGGTTTAGCTGAAGACAGAATAATTTGAGAGCAAACTTCTTCAAACATGTTGCTAAGACTAAAAACGCCCATTACTATTAGGTTGTCCTGAAAGTCTTTGCGCATTTGTCGATTTTTTTCAAATCCACTTTTCTTCTTTAGCCCAGTCAGCAATTTACAGTCATATGCCCCATCGTAATCGTCAACATATTGCCTTTCAGCAGGTGACTTGTGGATGCCGTTTGCCTAGAAGTCCTGAGCTTTCAAGGCAAAAAACTGGAGGAAGTCCGTTTTCGAGTAGTCCGGAACATAAAGCTCTCCCTCTTTTAGTTGAATCAGCAGCAACAGAAGCAGACGGTATTCTGTTGGGGCCGGATCTGCTGAACACAAATGGTGGACAGAACATCCCATGAGGGGCTTGGAGACTTTTGCTGGACCTTCTTCAAAATTCCTTGACGATCGCTGCTCGGATGAAGTGATCTTTGTAATGTTTTCTACGCATAGTGCATGAGATCCCATCCGCTTGCCCACATTATCGAACTACAACAGCAGTGAAGTTCGTTGGTAGGAGCTGTCGGCAAACGGATCGCTTGCAGCTTTACCAAGTCTGAAAGTTGCCTCTCAAGTTGCAGTGCTGGAATGGACGTCGGAATCTCTGGTTCTACGCGTCTGAGCCAGTGGCGCTCGCGGGTGTGGTTTACTTGAGGAACCCACTCCTTGCTACCACCAACAAAGTAGTCGGGTCAAACAAGATACAGACGGTAAATCAAAATGTTCATGCAAAATCTGAAGGCTTCTGAGGCGGTTGTCACCCAGATCACGAAATCTCCTTTTTCCATAATTTCTCTTCTTTTTGAGGAGCTATTGAGGAATGGCTATTGTGTTCTGATGACTGTGGAAAAGCTGTGTCAGTTACCGTGCATTGCACCAGAGACTGTTTCCAAACAACTCCAGAAGACACTCGTCACTCAGGGTAACAAGCCAACCGACTTTGGGCTTTTTTCTCGAGTTTCTGGACATCGGCAACCAAATGTTTGCCATGTCGTGAAAGACACTCTGGAGTCCATCGCAAGACGTAAGGCTCTTGCCGCATCGCTTCCACTGACGCGTTTTCTGGGTTTTCAGAATCAAGAGTAGCCAAATATGCTTTCAGTCAAAGTCGATTTTCTCAGCCATAATCGCTGCGAAATACCACGGCAGAGATGCTCTGGAGAGATCATTGACTGGGGTTCACATACGTTTTACAATGGATGTTCAAAAATTATCCCTGGAGATTTCACAACATACACATGGAAATGGGCAAAGACTTTCAGGACACTTAATAAACGTATAAGACTTCACAAAAAACTGCTCTAGTTCAGAATAAACATGAATGACTAAATTAATCCTATGTGAGCATCAAATAAATAAGCAATAACGACAATAAATTACGTATTAAAAATAAAAAGGACAAAATAATAAGTGCAGATAAACAAGTAGAAAACCTGGACCCATATTTCAATCCAAAGGCTATAGGGCTACGAAAGTTCAGCTTTAGATAGGGTGTCTGAAAAGCAATGTCACTCACATACTTTCAAAACGCTTATACCTATACCTTAAAGTTTGCTATGATCATAATAGCATTCAAGGACTTCAACATGGGTACTTTTACCCATTCAGAAAATAACTTTTACTACTCGTTCCGAAAGGCCTATTCGGTTCGTTGGTTTTACTGCATCTCGTTCCTCAACCCCGTTGCTTCAGATTTTGGCGCAGTGTGGTCACTGGGGACTAAATCGGTACCACAGACTAGGTGGTTGATTATATGACATCCAAATTCATAATGGCGGCCATTGAAAATCTTAATCAAAATCAAATCAAAACCGAGACAGGCTTGACATGTAGAAGGAGGTTCCTTTTCGCAATTTCTTAATGCTCAACAGAATGACGGTGCAGAATAGGAACGCGCTGCCCGGGTGTTTTGTTGGAAGTCGCTCACCTGCAGATTACATCCGCATCCATGCAGGTGGACGCCGAAACCTTCCCATCGTGGATCTTGACCGGTTTTGGAGAATGTGAGTATCACCAGCAAAGGCTTCGATGGAGCTGGTGATACTCAGGACTGTGGTACTACAGCATAGTACCCTCCTTCGAATGCAGTCCGGCTCGTTTAGGGGTGATGACCGTTTCAGAGACAAAATATACTGTCGCATTGTTTGGATCAAAATCGTTATGCGTAATTAAATCTAAGTGCTATATGACAGCACAAATGGAGTTGCATTCTATGCACTCAAAATAATCTTTGCAAAACGAATTTCTGTACAGCTAAATGTTTTTTTCCGAGAAAACATTCACGAGTCGGCTCATGTTCTATGGGGCCGTATGCTGAACGTTGGGTAGGGGATGGGGTCCCCGACCCGCTATGCTGAAACGTCGAGCTTTATTGCCGTAATCTTGCCAGTCTGTCCATTCACTACTTTAGACTGAAGTTTGGTTCGCGCCTTCTATTACTTCGTGCCATATTGGTGTATTACTTCAATATGGCAATGTGTGCGTGGACGAATCTGTAATCTAGAACAGTGAAAAGACAAAAACTTCATCACAGAATTAAAGGACTGGCCAGTCACCTGTAGGTCCCGCGACGAAACTCTGCTGGGAGCCCCAACATTCAGCATCGCGGGTCGGGGACCAGCCAGCCCCTTAGCAATCCACTGCATACGGCCCCGTGGATTTCATCGCTATAGAAGCTGACAGCCCCCACCAGCGGGTCCTGATGCCTAGAAGCGGGCCTCCCACTAGTGAACGTGCGATCACTACTCGTAAACTCCTTTGCTCCGATCTCTTTGTGAAACAAAAATCCTTTGATGGATTTTTTTTTCGAAGCGGATTGTCATGATTCCCTCCGCAAAACGGTTGCTGTACTTTGATGGCTGAACAAATCTCCACGAAACTTTGCATGCAACCATGAACGACTTTGATGTCCACAAATATAGCAGCAATTTCTAGAAACACCACCAACCGTATGCCAGTGACATTAAATTTTGGGACACCCAAGTAAATGCTCGCGCGTGTGGCCAGCAGATTATGAAATAGGGTTAACAATCATCGTAAACTGAAAGACAAAAAAAAACAATGTAAAACTTCGCAAAATAATTAAAAAGTAACAGAAGAAAACAAAAAAGAGGAATCGAGTAGCTCGAGAAATAATGGCAATTAAACCCTTTCAAATTTACCAAATAGCATCCTCTCTGATCAAATACTTCATTGAAATAATTACCATCTGTAAATTTTCAAAGACCAATATCGCTAATATTACAATTTCAATATATACATCTGCAAATTAGGCTACACCGACTAGCTTCTTCATAAAGCGAACGAAGGCAAGCACCGAGCTTAACAAAAGATTCTCTTTCTTCTATGGTAAGGCCTCATGAGTGTTGCTGAATTTTCTTGAGAGCGTCATCTCTGAGCTGCTCCAGCTGCCTCTGAAAGAGGAACAGTATCAAATTGCTTTCCATAGTATTTCACACCTAACCTAAGGAATGGCATTCAACTTCCCATGGAACTTTGAGATGAGACCCAGATATATCGATAGAGCTTCAAACGCTGATTACAAATATGGAAACTAAAACTGCAAAATGAACCTGCCAAGGAAGTTGTGAGCAGTCAAAGTTGGCTGGAAGTAAAGCGCATTACACTAGCCTCCGGGCTTTCAAAGTCGCCGTGGAGTAGTGGTAGTGCTCTCGAAATTTGCACTCAACAGGAAGAGAACTTATGACCTCCCGGGTGGAGAGCGAGGGCACTATCACTACTCCGCGGCGACATTGAAAGCCTGGAGCTAGCACGGTTCATATGTAACGCTTTACTTAGCCAACTTTGACTGCTCACAACTTCCTTGGCAGGTTCATTTTGCAGTTTTAGTTTCCATATTTGTAATCAGCGTTTGAAGCTCTATCGATATATCTGGGTCTCAATTCAAAGTTCCATGGGAAGTTGAATGCCTTTCCTGGTAAGTGGAAGCGAGTGTACGCAAGAGTGCTTGTAGCTGAGCTCTAGATGGACAAGACCACCACAATGAAAAAGAAGATGAAAGATAAA